AGAACAGGAACCGGGATTATGCAGGTGCCCGTCAATCTTTCCTTCGCCTTTCTCCTTTGGTTCGTTCGCTCGTTGGTTCGTAGCTGCTAAAAGATGGGCAAAGCGCTAGCTGCGGTAATGGTATTTTTGACTGGCGCACCACTACCTGCATCTCTAACATTCACCGTCTGCCTCTCTTCTAAACACACAATCTATGCAACTGTGCAAAGCACACTCTCTCAGGCTTTGTCTGTCACTCTCAGCATGCCATCCTACCGCGGACGTCGTAAATATGCCAAAGCGACGACGCATCGTTCGTCCCTCAATCATCGCTTGGATTTCTCCCTCCAAAAAATCTATTAAATGCACTGTTGGCATAATGTCAACCTGACAAACTATCTTTTTGAGACCTTTGGGATTTTTGGCACTAAAACAATGTACTTTGGCCGTCTTGAAATAGACGGCACAATGCCTGAATTCAAACCCTAACAAGTCTAGTCTAGTCCAGTCTCGGTCTTGTATTTAAGGAAGAATGAATAGACCTAAATGATTCTTCACTGGGACATGTGGATTGGTATCAAATTAATCCATGTCTAATAAATTCTCTAAAGGTTTTTAATTTTACTCGTATATTATAAGTTCTCAGTAAAAATTCGCTTATCTCAGCGGTTACTGATTAGAAACTAAAAGTTTTCCGCATTTATGTTCTTCTTATATTCTATTTTTTGTTTACATTATTAAAATTACCTTAGAGAGGTGTGATTTTGTGTTAAAATCTGTTTTAAAGAGCTGTCAGTCATTATTTTTTGCCGTTACTTTAACTCGCTTGTTAGGCGGCAACTGTTACCTTTAAAAAAATTTTCACGCTCTCAAATTGGTGACTGTAGAAAGAAGTCTAAAAAATTTATTTTTAATATCAACTTTTTCGATCTTTGCCTCAAAGCTAACCAGTTAACAAGGGTTTTTGAGGAAAAAAGCTACAATAAACCTTCATAAGTGTAGTTAATGTTAATGATGATTTTCCTAGTGCACATTGATTATTAAAAGCCCCAAAAGAAATGCTTTTAATGAACTCATCGTTTTTGTCACTCTTATAGCACTATGTTAGTCTGGGGAAGTTTGCATAAAATTTCTTAGTTTTTATAAAGAAGTGCTAATTTTTAACACATTTTAAGTGTTATTCGTGGTTCGGTGATTTAGTTCATCTATTTTTATATACAGCTAATAGTTGAAGCTAAGCAACTGGCCACGGTTAGCGTTTAGCATTAAAACGATTTAATGGTTGTAATAAAAATTTATGGTTGAGAGCCGTAGAAATTGGCTTTTTTAAGCTGCTATGTAACTTGTCTTAGCAATTTCTGCTTTGCTCTAGAATCACTGTTACGCTGAAAAGTCATCTTTTAGGTAACTATAGCTCCTTCTTCATCAAAATAAAAGTTTAAATACTATTTTCTTTGTTCTGTTTACCGTATATTTTGAAATATTAAGATGATTAACGTTGACACGAAAAAAAAAAAAAACAGGAAAATAAAAGTGCTACAAAAGAAGGACGGTCAGAAGCAGTAGTTCAGTAGTTCTTTTTCCTTGCTTCTTACCCCTGGAAGGTTTATTTGAAATGTCTCTGAAAAACAGAGTGTTCACTTTATTCATTTTTACTGCATGATCGTTCGTTTCTTTAGGCAGGCAAACTTTAGTTATCAAATTCACGAATAAGTTTGAAATGAGCTTTCAGCGTAATTGTTTAATAAATGCCATGGTAAGGTAAAATTTATCCTCCGTTGAATTATAGACCTAAGCTTGAGAACAATTTACAAAAGTCGAATCTCGAGACTTAGTTTAGACTTGTTGTAGTCAGTTATGGAATTTCCGCCTAATGTTTCATAGATTTAGCATAAAATAATTGTATATTAATTACACGTTATAGGATTATCAGTAGTACTTCATTTATAACACGGTTGTGTGTATCATGAATGGTACTTAACTTTAATATAGCTTTATACATAATTGGAGGTTTACTTCCCTTTCAGAGCTCTTTTCTTATTTTGTATATTAAAAATCGTTCTGCGATCATTGTGAAATACGAGTCTGTCTTCAAAGCATTAAAGTTAGCTATCACTTATGAGTGCAGGAAACTGCTGGCTGTACATCGGACTTTAACTATTTTGTGAACCTTGCGTGATTTAGATAGAAGTAAAGCATTTCAGTAGCTTCCGCCGGATTCTTTCGTGTAGTGGTCCTTTCTCAACGAAGAATGTTGTAAATTTTAATAATTTTTTATTGTTTTTTCTCATTTTTAACTTAATACAGATTAGATACGTAATTATTTGATGGAAAGTCTTTTAAGAGTGTTTAAGGAAGTGGACGTCTGTAAAATAAGCAATAAAGTGACCAGAAATTTTCATATAATCTTTATTGGAGTTTTACTCTTAAGAGAACAGAATGGTGTTTCTTTAAGTATCGTAATCATTGTACTGGAATCGTTCAATTTATTCAGAGGTCTGAGTTTCATTAAAGAGCGTAGGTTGCATTTTTGTTCAGTTTTATTGACTGTAGTAAATAAGTCTTGTAAATCACTGGTAGTTCAGCTTTCCTCAATAGCAAAAGGGTACTTACTCAAACAGACCTGTAGCAACAGATTAAGCAGTTTTAAAGTTCAACTGCCTCACAACGCTGGATGGGAGTTGCATTTCACAGCTGCTAAACTGTAACAGAAAGATGCATTTCAGAAGCGTAAAATTGGCTGCGTATGGCATCTTAGCGGCTGAAACCAGTGAGACTTTTTCACATTGCAGAAGATAAAAATGGGACATTGTAAATTCCTTTTTGCGCCTAGAGCCATTTTCACTTACCTTCAACCGTAAGTGAGTCATAAAGTTTAGAGACTTTTCTTTTTCAGTGATGGTTTGACTGTAATTGTTTAGAGCGACGAATAGTCAAGTGTGGCCATTTGACAGGTGTAAAAGTCGCTAAGTTGAAGAAAGCTTTTGTCTAGCTACGAAAAATGGCATAAGGAGAATGAATATACGGCGGAGAAATAAGGTTAACGTACTGAAGGTGGTGGAACCTGTGAAAGAAGACGTTTTTGGACAGAGAGTCGTAGTTTCCCTGCTTGGGGTATTGGGGGTAACAGGTTTCTTGGTACGATAACACAAATCAGCTATTATAGGGGACTGTAGAGTATTCAGTTAACTTTAACTTACGAAGCTCCTGATCCGCTGAGCTTTTTGAAATCCAGAACTACATGCTTGCAGTAGCGTTCTTCTCTGGTGAAAGGGTGTGAAAATCTGAGGTAGCAGGATTTGTCTGTTAAGGTCGAATCGATTGAGATCACATCTTTGAACAACGCGGTGAATAGGAAGCTGATTTTGTGATTAAGCAATGTCGGATTGCTTTATAAGGAACCACTCTGTTGCCACTCTTTAATTACCGTGTGCTTTTGAAGCTCTTCTCTCTCATCCTGAACAAGGCTCGTTATATCCTCTGGCTGAGCAAATCGGCTGGAATCGTTTTCAGAACGAGAATGATATTGAAATAGCTTTCGAAGTTCACTGATATGTATAATGCAAGTTTACTCGTTATGTGCAAAAACAAAGAAGAGTCCAACAATCGGCAGCGTTGATTCAGTAAAAATTGTTTCTACCGATTATGAACACAATTTTTTTTTCCTTTTCAGCCATTGTATTTTGCTGTGCTAAAGTAACTGAATGACAGCTGGAAACACTTTGGATTCATTCATATTAGGATATATTTTTTAACTTCTAACTTTAAAAAGCAGTAATGACATGGAGTTGATTGAATACAGTTTTTCGTTGTTATAAATAAATAAATA